TTACGGGTTTGGAATGACATGAGGGTGAGTAATTAATGAAAGAATATTAATTTTTGGGTGAACTATCCCTTTAAATATGGCAACTAAATTGTATGTAATGAACGAAAACAATTAGGCCTATTAAGCTCTACACAAAGAAATAAGCATAACATTCTTCACAGTCACAGTATTGTGTTTGTCTCCCCTAACTTATTGTTCTTTCCAACTGTTGGTTTCTTTCCACACGATTGTGTTGTCATGTATTCTAGCATTATCAGTTACAGTCCATCTAATCACATCAACTTCGTCCAACCATGGACACACAAAATAGCCTATTTATTGTTTTAAGGAGTCTTTTCCACACTCTGCTCATTGTTACTGTACGATGAGACAAAAAGACCCTGATAGGGCCTGATGGAAACTGAAACAATTCCAAAAACCCAGACCTTCCTCTTAATTCCATCAAACTCCCAGTCGACATCCTCTCCAGGGACAAAGAACGAAAGAGGGAAAACAAGCAAGCGTGTAATTCACTCGTGCAGTGATGTTGCAAACTGCCCACAGTTTGTCTGCAGGGAAAATGTGTAATTTACAAGTACAGACATGTTATAAAATGTCGGGATGCTAGTCAATGTGCAAGCCTGTTTGTAATCAACACCTGGAGCTTTTCAAGCCTCCCTTGTGGGTGACCTTCTTCCCACAACTAGTTAACGTTATCGCCAAGAATAGCCATACAGTATTGTTATATAGTCGATCACCTCTTATGAATAATTCATATGATGATTTGATTCAGTGTAGCTTGTGATAGTCTCCTTGAGAGCTTTCCCTTTAGATGACCTATTGTATCTCGATAGGAAGGACACAATGGGACAGGAAGTGAGGCGGTGGTGCGCTATCACTCAGTCCAGAACTGGGGCCATGTGGCGACAAGACGGAGCAAAACAAAAGGAAGACCTGGAGACGCAGTCCAGCAGATCTGAGTACTCGTGTGGTAGAGTAGACTTGGAGGTCACAACAACAGGCACAGTAATTAGATACAGGCTAATAAGGATAATGGATATGTGAAGGCCGTACGCCGAGGAGATTCCATTCAAATGAAAGCACTGTTTCTTATACCTGACTGGGAAAGCAGGGATAGGGCACCAGTTTTTGTTGTATGCCTTTTGCCTGTTCAGTTTGATGAATGGCTGCACCTGCTTCAATAAATAAACACTTGATAATTACAAATGAGAGCACAAATGTGCAGTATATGCATCAGTAAAACTGCTAACTCAAGCTCAAACTCAAGAAGTCCAGACTTCTATTAGTATTATCTCTGTAGTAGGCAGGATTTGAACATTAAAACTAGCGAGTTGCATCACTGTACACAGTACAAATTGTCAGATATCTTCTGAGTGAACATCCTGAATGACACTGAAAATATTTGAGATGTTCAACATCATCAAGTAAGCTTTAAGCATGAATTTAGAGACCTAAAATTTTCGTGATTTGGAAACCCGGGCGGAATCGCGGAATCCAGTAAAAAAAAAAAAGGAATTTACAGTATAACGCGGAATGTCACGAAATTTGGATGAATAAATCAAAAGTAGGTCAGAACACTTAAATCAAAACGCGATATGGTCTAGTGTCTGTGAATATTAAGCTGCAAAAATACTATTTAAATATGAATCCTGCATGTTCTGCTGGTCTCTGTGTGAATGAACGATGCAGATGCACGGTTTCATTTACTATACACGTACTGAAGTGCGCCCAACATTCGTGGTGTTTTCAGCCTCTGCCGCCTCAATATATGAACACATTCATGAGCATTTTATCGTTTCTTGAGTAAAACTATGATGAACTCACTGATGAAAGCAGCAAGCCGAAACGTCTGTTATTTGTATTTATCTCCTGTTTAAATAAAGAGAATTTTAGAGTGCAGACCTTGAGTAACGTTTAATATAAGAAATAGGTCTTTGCACCTACAAAATCTGGGAGAGCACGGTGAGTGTTGAGATTTGAGTAAAACTATACCATATACAAACAAAAACCTAAAAGTCTTCACATCAACCCATCAAAATAAAAGTTTGGTTTAACTTGAAGAAACGGTGACAGAAATATTGCTTAATGTAATGTTAGTACTACTACTATTACTACTACTACTACTAATAAAATTATTTTTAAAACATTATTTTTAAAGGAATATTTACCAGGAAAATTATTTACCAAAATGTATTTACCAGAAAAATGTAAATACACAACACCGTATTTATGAAAAAAAATAAAATGATAAAAATATATTTTTTAAATAAAATAATTTAATTAGAGATGCTTTTGATTATTAATATTTAATGAAACCATTCAAATGGAATCCAGAAAATGAATGGGAAATAGAATTTGGTAAAAAAAATAAAAAAACCGAATTTGAGAAAAAAAAATTAATTTCATAGGGCTTTAAAAATGTAATTTCTGTTAAACATTTTTGATGAATGAAATGGAATCCAGAAAAATTAAAAAAGAAAAAAAAATGGAATTTGGGAAAAAATGAAATTTTTCATAGGGCCCTAGCATGAATTATACTTCAGTTAAGACACGAACGCTTAGCATATGCGTACAGCCAAACATAGCCTTTTCAAGTATACTCCATTTGATAGCATGTGCAAACACACGCACACTAGAAATTATCATCCTTTATTTCATAATGTCTCTCTTACCCCATTCATGCAAACACTTGTCAATGCTGGTGTCTATTATTGTTGCAATATCTAGTTTTTTTCCGTCTCTCCACAAATGATACTGATTTAAAAATGGGTGAATAATTGTTGTCTTAAAATGCAGCATAATGTTTGCAACAGCATTCAAGTTGGTAATACGCTTAAAAATGATGCCTGAGTAGATGCCTCAATAGTGTGGAACAGACTGAATGGGTTATTTTACTTGCCCTAAATGAGAATTAACCCTCACTTACCAGAAGGATTTCCATTGGATTACTGTAAAAGTGTTTTTCCTTCACCAATATGATATGCTGTCTACATGCATTAAGTTAATGGAGAAATGTCTCTTTGACCAACTACTTGGTAGAGTACTCAGTCACACCCCTTAGCAACCACATTCAAAGTTCATTCTAAATCACTCTGGATGACCGCATCTGCTATAATACATTAAATATTATTTGTACATTCAAGATATTGGATAGATTCATCGTTTGATCGCGTTATGACAGGCTCTTAAACTTAAAACATGAAACACACACCTCTGTCTCTCTCCAGCCCTCTGTAACGTTACAGTCACACTCTCTGACAGCAGGAGGAAGGAGAGCAGTGGGAGAGAGTCTGATTATGAGCTGTGAAGACCCTTTCCTTCAAACCCCCTGCTGCATCACCGTGACTCATCACATCTCATTACAGGCCTGCAGACTTTCACTCTTAAAAATAAAGGTTCTTTATTGGAATCAATAGTTCCACAAAGAACCTTTACCA